TGATCCTATTGATGATCAGCCTGCTGCTTTGTTGTTAGATTGGGACACATGGATTTCCTGTTATTTTGAATGATCTTCTCATGCTCTATTTAGACACCCGTTTTTCTCTGCAGAGTCTGTCTCAAAGATATACCATCCACTACAGCTTCTTTTGGAAGTTTCTTTCAGCTTTATGGTCTAGTTTTCTAGTCAATGCTGCAGGCTGGTAAAATAGAGAGAAAATTGACCATGAGGCTGCTGTCCTAAGTCCTCCTTTAAATTCAGAGGCTGTGTTGAAGTCAGCAGGTTTAAACATCTCACCCTCTGGATTCAGTATCTCCTCTGCCAGTATTGACTCCCAATGTAGGTGCCCAAGTTAACACAAGTTGATGAGCCCTTTCCCTTACTGCATACCTGCAGTTCAATTCTTCTTGCTTCCTGACAGTGCAAAAGGCTGGAGTTCTAATCAGCACTCAGTGAATCACTTAATTCCTCCTATAATTGCTTCTCCCATCTAGAAAGAAACGATGAATTTCCCTGCTTTCTGCCATTTAGAGAGAAGCGTATGCCCATTTCTTTTTTTCCCCCCTCCTTCTCACTTTTCACTCCTCCCTCAGTGTGAGACAGGCTGGCTGAGTCTGCCTCTGCTTCCCATTTGCCACATGTGAGAGACTGAGCAGAGGAACATTGTGTGCTGCCTCAGGACTCAGTGGGGCTGACTCACAGAGCATTACAGAATGAGGAATTGCAACCCCTGGAGGAAACTCATCTATACTTAAGCGCAAGGCACTGCATTCCTCAGGGCTTTTCTAAATATCACTGGTTATTTTATTTTATTTTATTGTATTTTTCTTTCCCCAATGGGCCACTCATTGTTGTCTGTGGCCCACTGTTGTCTGTGAAATCTTCTGAACATAAATGTTGTGTAGATAAATGCCCTGTGTTAATTCAGCAGTTTGGTATGTAGAATTCAAGAGAATGGGAAACTTGAAAAACATGCTTATAAAGGGAACTGATCTGGAAGCAGGGAATGGTGATTAGAGACAGTATTTGCCAAACACTTGCTGTTTGTGACTGTATGCATACTGGGGGTCTGCTTCAGCTCCCTTTGAAGTCAGTGATAGTCTGCTGTTGTCTTGTGTGGCTGTTGGATTGAGACACGCTTGGCCTTCTATACTGCATAATGTTTCTGCTTTTGGCTTCCAATAGAGACATCCATATGGCAGGAACAAGGATGTTTCCTTGCTCTTTCATTGTAAATATGTTTTCCTTTTGCAGCAAATTCGAATGAATGCCAAAGCACTGCAGCTTGCAGCTTGTGAACATTCCTTGCCTAGGTCTTGAGACTAGAGATGTGGTGGTGCTGAGGAGAAATGTGGAGATCAAAGCTGAAAATCTGAGCCAGCCCAGCAATCATGGAAGCTTTCCTCGTTTTGGTGCTGCAGCAGTAGCAGTAGCAGCTGCCACTGCAGTTCTTCCCCAGGGCCTCTCTCCCTCCTGTGTGGGCCCTACACCTGCTGGTGACCACCACTTCCCAGATCTTTCTCCTACAGGAGGCAGTCACTGTGCAGTCAGATGCAGTTAAGCACTGCTTTAAGGCAGTTCAGGTTATCTTTGCCTTCTTGTCCCTTGTACAGAAACCAGTCTGGGCTGACTAATACTCTTTTTGCATATGTGGTCTTTTGTGTATTAGCTAGCAGGGAGAGCATATACCCTAAGAAATGGTGGTTGACTAAGGTTTGAAAATCACTAAAGCCCTAGACAAATAAACTAACACTTCTAGTTCATTGCTTGAACCAAATACTTGGTTCAAATGCCAAATCATCAAAACCAGGTTGTTTCTGATTGATTATACTATTTCATTATCGGAGGCTTGATGTGGAAGGAGCTTATTCTTTAAAAAGAAAATAAAAATGGTCTTGAGGCAGCATTTCAAAGTTAAAAAAAAATCACAACAACCCACCCTGAAGTAATTTGGTTTTTTAAGCAAATGAGAAAAAGTATAGAAGCAAAAGTTCTTGAACTGCAAACCAGTCACCTGCAGAAGCTCTCACAGCTCTAGGGGAAAGGGTTAAAATCTCTGTGGTGTCTCCTCTGACCTTCACATTACACTGAAGAGGAATTTGGCCTGAGTTTTCTTTTGGTAGAGAATCTGACCTAGAAAAGCAGCCTCTGCTCATGGTTCCTTGCTCCTCCCTCTTCTTTCATCCAAGACTTCTCTGGGCCCATTTCTATACTGAATATTTCAGTTCAACATTAGTTTTGTTGAGTTTAACTGGGTTTAAGAAATTTTGTTTTACACTGTGTCTTGAGAAAGAGACTCCCTCTAAAACTTCTTAATTCTTGACATTTTAAAAAAGGGTTCTTTTTAACTGATGAGCTTATTTCTTCACAGGGGTTTGGATACTCTGCAGACTAATGCAATACCATTTGTTTTTGCAAGGAAATGTATGTTTGAGCACTGCCTCATGTAGCTGGGTATTTTGAAATCTGTTAATCCATTCCAAAATGCTTCCTTGACCTGCACTTGACTTGGGCTTACAAGACATTTTTTTATTGCAAGTACAGTCCAGTTAGCTGTGAGTAATAACAGCATTTTGCAAAGTTGACTATTTGTCGTTGTTATGATTATCATATCTAGAGCTCTAGAGTTTACAGGGAGTGGAATTAGTGTGCAATATCTATTTTTCTTCCCACAGAAGGAATCAATCAATTCCATAGTCCTTCCAGGACATTTGTAACTTTACATTTTTTTTTTTATAGAATATTTGTTGCTTAAGTTTTATCCTGTTCATTGCATTCATGAAAAGGTCTTTTTCTAAGCACCCCATGCACCTGAAGGTGTTCTTTCCATGTGGCATGCAGATTGACTATGATGATAGTGGAGCCTCCAGAATCAGATTCCCTCTGGATGAAATAATAAGCTGTGACTGCCAATTCAAACATTCTTCAAGAGCAGCAGTGATTCAGGCTTCTAATTAAAACAAAGCTAAAACATTCCCTCTTGTGCTTATGTTTGACTAGAAATCTTACTATGATGCACTACCAAAGCAAAACTGTATTTTCACTTGTATTTTGGACATCTGAACTAGCTCAGCAAAAGTTCTTGCAGCTATAATTGGTGAATCAAGCAGTCTCATGCTTCCAGGCTCAACAATGAAGTAGAAAGCACAAACTACTTTTGTTTTCCTTTGTACAATAAGGAAATGTAATATTCTGACTAAAACAAAATAGCTTGTAGTCACACAGACTGAGTATTAACCCAGACATTGCTCTCACTGCAAACAGCTATGCCTCAGCTGTCATCCCCCTAAATGCTGTGAATACTTTCTGTGACAGTGGGAATAATAAACCATGCTACAGCTTTTTGTCCTCAATTCTTAATTGACACAGTATGTAGTAAAATCTGAATCGCTTATATTTAGTGGCTTGTATTGCGATATATGTTGTACTAACCCCGTGAGTTTTAGAGTCATCTTTAGATATAAAACCAAAAGCAGGTTGGTTCAAAGGCTTTGAACTTCCTGCATGTTTCAAGTTTCTGTAAATTCAAGTCTTGAATTTGAGTAGACCACTTTTTTGGAGATGATTTTCTGTTCAAGATGGTTGGACAACTGTAAGGACCCTGTTTATGAAAAATCTGAAGCTCTAAATCAATTGCTGATTATGAACTATCTGAAAAATGGATGCAAAATGTTCATTTTACTGATGGCACTCATTCATCTTTATGCTACTTAGTTCAGTACGAGGTTTGTTAAGTTCAGAAGTTTTGATAAGGTGATGGGTTATTCCACTGGTCCTTTGGCTGCCGAAGGGTGTTGGATCTCACTTAAATCTGGACTATAAATTTTGTTTCTGGGTTTTGTTTTGGATCTAAATCTGGACTATAAATTTTGTTTCTGGGTTTCATATGCTAAAAATTCAAAGACTGCAGTCTGCTTTTTGATGTATTTTTCATTTATGCCATATTTAGTGATTAAGTGTTCAAGCAGGATGAGTTTCTCTCTGAGAGATAGGAACTTTACATAACTCGACATGAACAGCTGCCTAAATTGAAGACATGTTTTAAAGACCACTTTGAGGATGCAGTATTGTTGGGACAGAAATCATATGCTAAAAATTCAAAGACTGCAGTCTGCTTTTTGATGTATTTTTCATTTATGCCATATTTAGTGATTAAGTGTTCAAGCAGGATGAGTTTCTCTCTGAGAGATAGGAACTTTACATAACTCGACATGAACAGCTGCCTAAATTGAAGACATGTTTTAAAGACCACTTTGAGGATGCAGTATTGTTGGGACAGAAATTCTTCCTCTTATACATTTGCAATCTTCAGAGAACTCTTGAGCTGAAGTGTTTATTCTTTCTTTGCCTTTTTGGGTGGCGAGACACTGGAACAAGTTGCCCAGGGAGGTAGTAGGTGTTCCAACCCTGGCAGTGTTCAAAGCCAGGTAAGATGAAGCCTTGAGCAACCTGATCTAATGAGGAGGTGTCCCTGCCCAGGGCAGAGGGTTGGGACTAGATGATCCATTCCAACCCCTAAAACTCCATGATTCTCTCAGGAGAAGAGAAAAATGAAAGTAGAATCTAGTAAGAGTTGTCTTATTGTGTATAAGGGTGGTATGTTGCGAATGGTTGTTTATTGCTCTTCATTTCACCCTGTGAGTGGCTGTTACAGATTTATAAAATCTACTGATACACTTTAAAGTAGTTATGTGCCTTAGCTTTTATATATCAATAAATTTTCCACAGCTGTGGATGCTCAGAAGCACATCTTGTGAAATCTTTGCATTTTATAAAAAAAAAAAAAGCAGTAAAAAAATCCCAAAGAAACTTGTCGACCTCATAGCCAAGTTCTCCTCCAAATACTTCCAGCTGCAGCTAGAGGGATGAGTCATGCTGAAAGCTGAGGAGCTTTTCTAAAAGCCTTTCACTTGGTTCACATGATTTTGAAAAGTTCTTTAAATTTTACATTCCTGTCTGTTTTTCCTTCCTTTAAAAAAAAAAACCCAAACGTGAAGGGGAGTCACCCAAGGAAAACCCGTACGAGGATGTGGAGCTGAAGGGACGTCACACGGGCCGAAAATCCCATCAGCTCTCGGAGAACTCCCTAGATTCTCTGCACAGGATGTGGACGCCTCAGGACAGGAAATACACATCGCCTCCTCAGGTAATGACATGATGACATTGGTCTTTGTGTGCTTGAAAGTTGTTTGGAGCTTTTGCAAGAAAATCCATCGTGGCATAAGAGGAAGAGCAGCCGTACTGGATGAGAAAGGGGATCTGGCAAGAGTGCAATCAGATGCATGAATCGATGCTGGGAATGCTCTTGGCAGCTGTAGCTCAGCTTCTCAGCGCTGCAGAAACTGATGGCTCCTTGTTCTGGTTATAGTCTGAAGAGTTTAAGCAGAATCCAGGTTGTTTGTGAGTTGAATCTGGACCTGAATTATTTGCATGGCTGCTCTTATTAATGACTTGCCTCTATGTTTGCTGCTGTGCTTTTAGCAGGGACAGGAGGGACAGAGGCAGCTGCTAATTTTGCCCATGTGTTGTTATGCGAAGCCTATTGTAACTTTGCACATGTGAAGTACTTAGTGTGGCATATTTTGTTGTAAAATGGAGAATGCAGAGTATGGCCCCCCAATAAATAAGTGAATAATAAAATAATCAGAAAAACCTGAGTGTCTGCAGTTAACAAGGCTGTATAAGCTGTGTTTACAGCATGAAATGAAAGATGAGGAACTCCACAGACTTTCCATTTGGTGGTGAATTTTCCAAAGCAGTCTGTTTTTTGTGAACACCGTGAAATTCCAGGTTGCTTTGTTGTTTATGGGATCATTGTGTTCCAAAGGAAAAATATAAATCTCATCACATACTTAATTTTGAGATTCAGAGCACCACTTAAAGGAACTTAGTGCACTGAATCAACAGAAAATTTGCAGTTGAACAGAAGGTCACAACAATTTACATTTTGTCTAGTAAAGAGACCTAGAACAAAACTGAATACATTTTCTTTCATTTGCTTGTGTGCATGGGAGCATCACAGTCCAAGAGACAAAACAAGTATCACCAAGGTTCTTAGTGTGCACCTAGCACACCCTTTGTAAAACAGGAGTGTTTTCAGCACAGCTATTGGAAAAGGAACAAATGTAAAGTAGTAATCAGGCAGAGTAAGGAGAAACAGAAACTGCAGTCATGAAGAGAACCTCATAGTGAGGGATGCATGACAGTTATTTCTGGCTCTGTGTGTGTTAACAGGAATTGTTGCAGATCTAGGGGATCCAAAAGGGTGTATCATTAGGCTAGGAGCCATATAGGTTGATAGTAAGATACTATCAGGTATTCTGTGTTTTACACAGAGTGGTCCAAAGAATATAAAGATTTAAATGGCTTCTGCAAAGTTGTTCAGTACATAAGTACTCTCTGGTATCTTTGCAACTGGGCTGTCTTTATTCTGGTAGCTTCTTTTTGAAATGCTGCTGGGAATTCTCTGCCAGGAATCAGTGCTGCCATAACTGCACTGTCACTGTGCTGATATTTAAAGTGAAGAGACACTAACAGCAGGTCAGCTATGTGCCTGGGGAATTCTCCAATGACCAGAAATAGAAAAGTCTGAGTTTTCTGAAGAATGGTAGCATTGGCAATGATTTATCACCCAGTTTTTCCATCATAGCAACATAGCTGGATTAGCAACATGTCTTTTCAGTCATGGATGATGATAAACAAGATGGAAGAGATCAGAAGGTCAGCAGGCTTTCAACAATCATCTCCAAAAAGAATTCCTATCATTAAAGTATAGAGTGCTGCAGATTTTCCTGGCATACTAATCTGTGGTAAGCAGAGACCTCAAAAACACTAGTGTGTGGTCATTTTGAATCCCACTGTGTCTTCTCCTTTCCATTTGTGATTTTCAGTTTTTGAAGTCATCAGACATTGTGTTTGTGGTGCAAACCCCTACCCCACCCAAAACACCTGTGCTTAATCCCAGAGAGTATGGCACTGTAACCAGTAAGCCCTCCAAGTAGAATAAATGGAACATTTATTACTGCAAGTTTGGAAATTGTAGTACTGCTGATAGAATATTAGTAAACGCCAACTGACAGACATTTGACTTAATAGTACTTTTTTCTAGATGTGCTGGTTAAGCTTCTAAGAGTGTTTGTGTTTGGGAGGAGAAGGCAGAGACCTGGCCTTGCCAGACTGCTGATTAACCTTCCTGAGAGCTGGGAAGATCTGCTTGGAGGACTGCTCCAAAAGAGCCACATTCTTTTAAAGACAGATTTTACTTGGTGCTCACGTGTCAGTGAGATTTCTCCCTTCCCCCTGCAGTGATAAGAGTTCTGTGTTTTAAAGAGGATTCTTTGGGAATACATAACAAAACTGTAACCACACCTCTGCACATTGGCAGATGTTAAAACTTCTTAATACCATGAAAATACAAGCAGCTTCATTTTTCTGCTTTTTTTTTCTAGGATAAAAAAGTATGAATTTGCTGTTTTATTTATTACTATTGCACTGATTAATTAATTTACATATTACTATTACACTGAATTATTATGACACTGAATTGTGTAATTGCTCTTGATCCTTCACTCCAGCCAGTGAGAGAGATGGACCAGGCACACTGGATCAGTGTGCTGATGTCACCCAAACCTTTAGGTTAGATCTGAAGGCTAACAGAGCTGATGTGATGTGAGTGCATGGAAATGCACCAGAGCCAAAAGTACTCGTTTCTTTAGACTTTAAAATCTGATATATTGACGCCTGTCTCTTAAACCCTTTCTCACACGTATACTGCAGAGCAGTGGCTTACCTGGCATGATGTCCATGCGTAGCCACCGCTGACAGAGAGCTGCCTCTGCTCTAAGAGTTGCTGAGGAGGGGAAGAGCTCAAGCTGTTCTTGTTCCTGCAGCTGCCTTCGAAGCCCAGCAGCCAGTCTCTGCGCGTTGGGAACTGGTCAGAAAGGAAGAGCCACCGTTTACCACGGCTGCCCAAGAGGCACAGCCACGATGACATGCTGCTGCTGGCTCAGCTTGGCATCCCTTCCTCCCCTTCCAGCCTCAATGAGGACAGCCTGAGTACTGCAAGCGAGCTGCTGTCTACACGGCGGGCCAGGAGGATCCCAAAGGTATTGGCAGCATGGTCAGGCTTATGCTGAGGATAGGTCACCTGCCTGCAAGAGCTTGCAAATTTCTATCCAGCCTGTGGCCATCACTGAAAGCTCTTTCTGTATCTTAAAGGAAAATTTATAACGAAACAGAAACTCTCAGGAGCCAAACACACTCCTTTTTTACGTACATACTGTGAAAATCCCTTCCCCTAGAAGTGGATACCTTTGCCCTGGTCCAAGAGGAACAAACATCTGATTGTCATCATTGCACACACTTATGTTAAGGCAGTTTTGTTTTCCACACTTTAAGCTTTGTGGACCAGAGCATTGTTGTGTACATGACTTTATGATTTTGAATGGGTGATGGCCAAGCAATTATTCTTTATAACATGAAGCAGCATCTGAAGTGGTTTATTTCTCCATCATTTGTTTCCTGGTCTCAGGAAAAGAAATACAATTGGCCTAATATGTTTCCCTTCATTTACTCACAACTTATCCCATCCTGATAACCATGTTGTCTCGATGGATTTGAAGTAAAACTTAGCTTTTCATTTTTCAATGACTTTTCCAATTCATAATTGAATGTTGAAAAACCCCAAGCCACAAAATGACAACCAAAACCCCAACAAACCTTTTCTAGTACAATAGCAACAGAGGGAGGAAGAACTGCCAATATACTTAATTTTGGATTGTGAACAAAGTTGATTTTTACTGTGTATTCAACTCTTTCCTGTTCTTATTAGAGAGCATATTTTTTAGCACATGGCTATAAATACTGTGAGTTTCTGTCAATTCTGTTTAAGAAGAAAATTAATCCTATGGCCTTCATATTTACTATATTTTTACTTTCTTGGAATATACTATTTTACTGCACAAATGAGCATTCATCTGTGGAGGAAGTTACAGAGTAGCTTACAGAGTAGCTTACTACTTGGTTTTGAGTAAAAGTTGGAAAGTTTGATTGTTAGTTTTGTACCCCAATTTTTTTTTGATTGAAGGGACAGATATTCTCCTCATGTAAAATAGTTTTCAGCATACAAATTTTCATAGTTTTATCATAAATCTTGTGATGATGTCTAGTTTTTATGACTTTAGCTCCCCAAATCACATATTGCTGGAGAATTTCAAGGGCTTTTTTGTTGAGAAAATGGTAGTTATTAGAGGGAAAAACAAGAACCTGAGAAACTCCTGTTCTGTACCACCCCCAGTGATGCTTCATGGGACAATACTCAAATATTTTAAACATCTGACCTTTCCTGGCCAGAGTGCAGCTATTTTACCTTTGGTGAAGTAGCTCAAGCTGTTAAAGTGCCAAGCAGCACAGTGAGGGGAGTGAAAAATCTCAGCAAGGTCCCTCACTCCTGGTCCCTGCTACCTTGTTTAGTGCTGGGCTGGTGCATGTGCAGGAGCTGGGCAAGGTTTTATCCTGCTGGCTGTGTCAAAAGATTCCCAGCAGACACAGCAGCAAAGTTCCAGTTGAGCTTTGCTGGTGGATTGCACAGTCAGCATGTAGGGGCAAAACCCTAATACTGCTTCAAGCAGGAGAAGAAGTGGAGATTTTAACACTTCACACTGTTCTGGGCCATGAGGTGTTGTTCAAGTCTGTGCTCTTACTGGCCTTCTACTGCATCTATGACATATTAGCTTCTCTCACTGAGTTTACTTCTCTCTGCAATCTGAGGTGAAACAGCTTTTGCAAAATGTATTATAGTTCAATGAATAAAACTGCTATGGAATGAAATATGCTATTCCTGACTCCTAAGACATTATGAAGATTAAATGCTACATATTTATGACTCTCCAGAAGTTATAATTTTCTGTTTAATTTCAAATTCTTAGTAATCCCAGCCTTTTGTTGAAGGTGCTAAACACAAGTTATCTCATTAATATTTTCCCTCATCTCAGATTTTTGGGGAAGGCAGTAATGATCTGCATTAAGGGGAAGTCACAAAGATGATTACCAGGACTTAAAATTCTGTCTAGTGGTGGTTAAAGTCAGGTAAAGCCAGCACTAGTAGCTAAGTTGAAAATACTTTTGTAGATGAGGGTAAGATTGGAGGCAGTAGGTACAGCATGTGTGAAGAGAGGGAAGTACAGCATGAAGGGTGAGGGAGAAGTCCATATGGGTCATAACCTCAGCTGATCTGATATCAGTTCAAAGCAGCTGATTCATTCTGTATCTGAAAAAGTATAAAATAATTAGAGCCATCTCCTTGTGCTTACTTGAACACACTAAAATCTCCATTCAGAGAAGTACTCACACATCTTACTGTTGTATTCAAAATGAGAATATGGTCTTAAGGTCCATGAGAGTTTGGCAAAGTTGGATATGGCTAATGGATTACTGTTGTTTAGAAAATGCAAGTGAAGAGAGAAGCAATAGCCTAGAGGAATGAGGTGGTAGAGGGTACCAGGTAACAGCTACCTTTGAATTCTCAGGCTCACTGCTTTTATTGCAACTCTCTATGAGATTTTTGAAAATGGGATTTACATTTCTGAGTTATTTAATTGTTGTGGTTCTTAAAATATAGCCATAGGTAAAGAAGTGAGATTCAAAATAAGTTAGTCAAACAAATGGGATTCAAAATTAGAGAAAAAAAGTACTTATCAAAATAGTAAAGGCTCTGGGGTTCAGCTGGCCTGTTCAAATTATTTGGATAGATTAATTGCCTCCAGGCAGAAAAGTGTTTAGTCTTACTGATTCCTCATTTTCTTATTTTGCAGCTTGTCCAAAGAATCAATTCCATCTACAGTGCAAAAAGAGGAAAAAAACGCCTGAAGAAACTTTCTATGTCCAATATCGAGACAGCGTCCCTGCGAGGTGTGGTACAAGTGTCATGGTTCAGTGAATCTCTTTGAATGTTACAGGCTTAACAGATTCCCTTCTTTCCTCCACATCTACTCTGGACTCCACTTTGTTTAGAACTTTCTTCCGTGAACAATGATAACTTTCTCTCTTCAAGAGGAGAAAATGAGGATGAGTTAAAAATAAACAAGATTCTCAGCATTGTCTATCCTATTAATCCCATCATCAGGTAGACTTACCCAGCTTCTTCTTTAGTTCATTTTTTGAGTCATTTGCATCTGTAAGGTTTGTCCAAAATTCACAGTTTTGACCTTGTAATTCTTGCATGCTTTTTCCTGGCATTCACACTGTGTAACTCACACTGTGCTTCAGACTGCTTCTGGAAAAACAGGGCCCAAAAAGCAACTCAGGCCATGTTTCTAGTAAGAGTACAACAGAGCTTTGATATTAATATCCCTCAGAAATACATCTTATCATAAGGTTACTTTTGCCTGTTAACTCTAACTCCAAATGGCACCTTCACTTTTGCAGCTTAGCATAGATGGGGGTTCAGTGCAAACAGTTGCTGTAATGCAGAATGAATTTTGCACTTTCATCAAAATGAAGCTCTTATTCTCAAGCAAAATTGAAGCTGAATCCAAGGAAAACAAAATCTAAAGAGTCATTCAAACTGTTTATTTCAAGATATTTTAAGCCTGAGGAGTGTGCATGCATGGATCACAAGGCACATTGTGAGATGTGATTTTTCCCAGTTTCACCACAGTAAAGTGAGTTTGTTTGCTTTAGTTTTGCATTAACTGATCTCTCTACGTCCTCTGCAGACGAGAACAGCGAGAGTGAGAGTGACTCAGATGACAGGTTTAAAGGTAAGGGATCAACCTTGAATAACTTCTAGTCAGTTACCATCACAGACCTTATCAAGGTACATTCTCCTGCTGCTGGATGTTGTTCCTGCCTGTATTTGCCTTCCTGAACTATGCTAACTCCATTACTGAGAGCTCACAAAGTTCCAACACAGGAGCATGAATGTGGAGAGCAAGGAGAAAATGAGCTGTGAGGATCTAACAAGGATTTGGCAACTGTGTCGTATAATGAAGAACAGGATCTTTGATAGATTCGCTTTGTCAGCCACTTCACAGATGCTGATCTATTCCAGACTGACTACTGGGTGCAGACTTAGAGGGATGAGATTGGATAAAGATGCTCTAGTCTTACTCATACACTGCTTTCAGTGTTTACTGCTGTCTGCTGTTGGAGGCAAGAATCTGGGTCTGATCTGGCATAGTGGTTCTTACACTCTAAGCCTGCAGTCTCCAAATTACAGAAATTCCATGATTAGTGCATAGCACCTGCACAAATTCTGCTTGAGTCAGGTCAGTAAATCAGTCCCTCTTTTCAAGTGGCAGCAACAACAGATTTCCTTACTAAAAACCCATCATGTTGTTAGTAAGTGAGGGAAAACCCCCCCAAGAGCGTGGAGCTGTTGTTATAATATAAGGGGCAAACATCCACGTCTTTCTACTGCAGATGTCACCTGCTTACTGTTCATGCAGCAAAGCTTTCTGGAAAGCATTGTCTTAGGGAAACAGATATGTTTCAGATAGGTGGTGGTAAGACCACCCAAAACAGGCTGTATGCAACATTGTACAACAACGTGTGGAAAAATGCTTGTTGCTCCTTCATCTACTGGTATCAGCCCAAAAGCACTTTCAGTTTTGTTCTCTGTGTCAAAAAATATAGGGGTTGCTTGTTCTTGTAACCCATGGAAGAAAACAGACAGGATCTGGCCTTTCTCTTGTTATTGGGAGGATAGCTGGATTTCATTGGAAGCTTCCCTAGTTGTGCAGTCACACTGAGACTAAAGTGCTTTATCAAAATAATTTTTAATTTTTGTGTGGTTGAACCAGTTGCATGACAGTTGGTCTTCAAGAGGTTTCCCTTTCTTTCTGGCAATTAATTACTGCTGTGATCAATTGCTTGTGACATCTTGTTTTCCTGCCACAAGGGATGGTCTGTCTTTGGCAAACTGCAGGCAGTGACTGTGAATGTAGCCTTAAGGGACTGATATGTGCTGCTAGTAGTTTGCTTGCCATTGCACAGAGATCCTGGTGTGAACAGGTGGGGAAGAGCATGCAGGAAGCTGGTTTTACTGAGTTGTTTTCACTTTTTGGTCTCCAAGAATTGGTAATGATGTTACTGACTAGTCCACCATAGACAACTAGTGACAAGTCACTGTATCAAAGCATATCTTTGGGTCAGGTCTGGATGTGACCATGAATTTAAGTTTGCCTCTCAGTTGAATTGGCACTAGGGAAGCAATCCACGAGAGGCAATTGGCACATTTTTCCTTTCCTTCCTGTCTGCTTTCCCTGGAGATTGTTCCCTGGCTTGTATGGACTATGCCTGTACTTTAGAGAAGGAGAAAACACACCTTCCATGGTTCACAGCACAAAGCTGTGCTATGTAGGGACAGGACACAGAACTGTATTTCACTGGGGTAAGCCAGCTCCAGGTCAGACCTGAGATGTGTCGCCCTGGAGGCTCCAGCACACCCACATAAGGGTTTATTAATCAGTCTTACGTGTGAAGGTCTGGGAAACATGTTGTTTGAATCATGGCTGAGGGAATTGAGTTTGTTTAGCCTTGAGAAGAGGCAGCTCAGGGGTGACCTCATGGCTTTCTACAACTACCTGACAGGGAGCTGTGGAGAGGTGGGGGATGGTCTCTCCTGCCATGGCTGCAGGGAGAGGACTAAAGGGAATGGCCATAAGCTGAGACAGGGGAGAGTCAGATTAGATGTTAGGAAAAATGTTTTCCCTGTTAGGGTGGTCAGGCAATGGAATAGGTTGCCCAGGGAGGTGGTGGATTTACCATCCCTGGAAGTGTTTAAGAGGTGTCTGGATCTGGCGCTGGAGGATATGGTTTAGGGGTGGTGAGTGGTGGGTTAATGGTTGAACTCAGTGATCTTAGAGGTCTCCTCCAACCTTGATGATTCTATGAAGAAAGACCTTCTGCAGGGTAGCAGTTATGAACTGCAAACTATTTCAGTGACTTAGTGTTGCATCACTTCAGTGCTTGGAGAGAGTTTTGATTTATGGGTGCAATTAGTGAGGGAGACTATAGGTTTGCAAACTAGAAGTTTGCTTTTGAAAGGGGAACGTGCTTGGAATAATACTCTGGCAAATTGAAAGTCCTTTGTGAATGCTGTGGCTTTCACATATACATTACAGTCTCAGGTTATCTGTCTCTTTTTTAATTCCTTTTTTCTTTTTTTGTTTCCTTTTTAATGCCAGCACATACCCAACGTCTTGTACACATCCAGTCAATGCTGAAAAGGGCTCCAAGTTATCGCACCCTGGAACTGGAGCTGATTGAATGGCAGGAGCGAGAGTTGTTTGAGTATTTTGTGGTAGTGTCCCTGAAAAAGAAGCCCTCTAAAAACACTTACCTCCCAGAAGTGACGTATCAGTTTCCCAAGGTAAAAGCACAATTCTTACCTGCAGTTCATTCTAAGATAAGTAAATTAAGTGGAAAAAATGAATAGAAATCTAATTTTTTAAATGGATCTTTAAGGACTGTCAAAAGCAATCTGTTACAAAGCAAAGGGCATAGAGAAGGTGACTGAAAGCTTTCCCTGTGTTCAGGTGTATCTTTTCCAGTGCTGGGGAGTTTGGCCTGATGGTGGATGCTTTAAAGACTGTGTTTAAATTCAGTTTCTAAATATTTCATTTTTAACTCATTTTGGCTGTATTAGGATTTATTCCAAAACTCACTGAAGTCAATGGAAAGACTTCTGCTAATCTCTGGCATTTCTCCTGTGCTCTTGCAGCAGAAAGGTATTTGAGTTAGGGCTGTGTTTTAAGCGGCCATTCTGCAACAAGGGAGTTTTTGGCAATTAAAAAGAAAAAATTAACAATCTAGCAGTGATTTTTGGGGTTTTTTTTTTGTACTTGCATCTATAAGCCTGTCCTGGAGTTATGCCACACTCTGCCAAGCACAGATAAAGAGCAATCTGATGGTCCTTTGTTGTCAGAGCTTATTAGTAGTACCCCTGCCTCCTGACCTGGGCTGTGAAGCTGGCAGGGACTGACTGAACCTCACTTTTCTCCCCCACAGCTAGAAAGACCAACCAAGCAAATGCGTGAAGCGGAGGAGCGTCTCAAGGCTATCCCTCAGTTCTGCTTCCCTGATGCCAAGGACTGGCTCCCTGTCTCTGAGTACAACAGGTAATGGCACCAGTGCTCCTCTGCTCTCCCCTTCTGATGGAGAGCATCTGGAGCAGCCACAGCCTCGCTGATGCTTAATTAAGGAAGCAGCAGTTTGGATCTTAGCCACTTCATGATCAAGCAGCTCTATTTAATTTTTCTTTTCTGTATTCTATTTCTTCCCTATTCTGCAAGCCTCACAGGCCTATATGTCTGAGGGGAAGAGGCTTGAATGTTTCTCCGAGTGCTAAACTCAAAAGAATAAATGGAAGTATGTAAAATAAATCTTAAAAGTACTGGGCACTGCTCACCACCTGCTCTAGCCATTTACCTTAGAGTGTTTGTCTAACATTGAGGATTATCCTTTCATTTGGCTCAAAACAGTGCTGTTTGAGAACTTTTCTGGAGCTAAGCTCTATGCCAGCAGAAGAGCCTGATCTTCCTTCCATAGGACATAAATGACTGCAGGAGAAGGGCAAGGGAAGGGAGAACCAGGCTTGCATTTTCTTTTTCATTCAAAAATAACCTCAAAAAGGTATCATTTTTCTCTGCATTGATATATCAGAACTGGTTGATCTGAAGGCATAGGAGTAATGGAATAGGCAGAAGGGATAGAATAATGGAATGGATTGGGCTGGAAGGGACCTTCAAGGGTCATCTAGTCCAACCTTCCTGCCGTGACTAGGGACATCTTCATCTAGAGCAGGTTGCTCAGAGCCCTGTCCTGCTTAATCTTGAATGTTTCTAGGGATGGGGCATTTATAGCCTCTCTGGACAACCTGTTCCAGTGTTTCACCACCCTCATTGTGAAATGTTTCTTCCTTGTGTCTAGTCTGAAACTATCCTCCTTTAATATAAAACCATTATCCCTCATCTTACTACTACAGGCCCTATTAAAAAGTCTGTCCTCTTCTTTCTAAGAAGCCCCTCTGAGTGGCTCTGAGGTGAGTCTCCCAACAAATACAGAGAAGGTTTTGGATGCCTTTTCTATGTATGACACTTGCAGTTTAATTGGGAGTATGTGAGAATGTTCTGTGTGTAAGTATTAGCATTTTCACTACGAAGAGAGTATCTGCTTTTTAATATTGAAAGACCATACTTCATTTGGAAGGGTGGACTTGTTGGAGTGGGTTCAGAGGTGGCCATGAAGATGCTCAGAGGGCTTGAGCGCCTCTGCTATGGCTACAGGCTGAGAGAGCTGGAATTACTCAGCCTGGAGAAGAGAAGGCTCCAGGAAGAGTTTATAGCACCTTCCAGTACCTAAAGAGCCTCCCAGAGAGCTGGAGGCAGACTTTGGACAAGGGCATGGAGTGATAGGACAAGTCAGAATGGCTTTAAATTGAAACAGAGTTGTTTTAGATTAGGCATAATGAAAGGAAATGTTTTTACTATGAGGGTGGTGAGGCACTGGCACAGGTTGCCCAGAGAAGCTGTTGGCTGCTCCATCCCTGGAAGTGCTCAAGACCAGGTTGGATTGGGCTTGGAGACACTTGGTCTAGTGGAAGGTCCCTGCCCCTGGCAGGGGGGGTGGAACTATGTGATCTTTAAGGACTCTTCAAGCCAAACCTTTCTGTAATTTATGATTATATGATCCTATGAAAGGCCACAATAAGGTCTACCCAGAGCCTTCTCCAGGCTAAACAACCCCAGTCTCTCGGCCTGTGTTCATAGGTGTTCCATTGCTCAGATGATTTTTTTTGTTTCCCCTCTCTGGACCCACTCCAATGGGTACATATATTTCTTGTACTGAGGACACTAGACCTGGATGCAGGTGGGGGCTCCCCATATTCCCTGAGGATATGGCATGGCTTGTTAAGATGCACAGTCTGAGTATTGTGTAAATGAAGTAACACCCATTCAGAGTGTGTCTAGAGGCATTTTCAATGATGATGAGGAAGCAGCATTCACCTGCAGGAATTACTGTAACTGAGAATACGTATGGAACTTTTTATTGGCTTAGGTATGGCACACGTAACATAATCATGTTGTATTCTATGTTGCTTGGCTGCATTATTCAGTACATGGAAGCACCTGCACAGTGACTTATTGAAAACACTGAAGAGAAGCAGACAACTGTGTGGGCAACATTGGTACTAGAAGCACACAGTCCTGCCTATACATCTTGTCTCTTCTGCTGCTGTTCCCTTTCATGTGCCCATGTTTGTGAAACATGATATCCTTCCCATATACAGCTGTAGTTCTATAAATCCTGGCATTCCAGCACAAAGAAGTGTTTTATATAATGCCATCTAAAACTTGCAAAGCAGTCAGGAATGTTTCTAAGCCCAGGCACAAATTCACAGACCTACTCCTTCACCTGTCTTGTAATTATAACATTAAACTGTGGTTTAACTGCTCTGTCACAAATGGTACTTATCCTAGACAGAGATATAGAGTGAGCTGGATTTTGGAAATTCTTGTTTCTGGATTAGAAAGTGATTTCTCTGCTCTTAGAAAATATATAAGGTTCTCCCTTTAGGAAGCAAGCCCACGCTAAAGACAGGATCTATCTAAAGTTAAAGGAGCATTTGAATAGTGCCCTCAAAATCTGATTCTTGTGATCCTTCTGCAGTACAAAGGGACTGCCATGTCACTGACATTCAGCATCCATCTCTTTTAATGACATAACTAGGTTGTCCTCAACTAGGCAGATAATTTTGCTCTACTGCTGATGGAATTTTTCCACATATTACCTAATAGGGATAGGCAGAAAGAGACAAGACCCTCCAGTGGATAGAATCTCTCACTGGATAATGCAGTATTCCTTTCTAAGACATCTACCTCATAGCTATGCTGTAGTTCTGATAGTAAGATCTGGGCAATTTATTTTCTTCTAGTGAGACCTTCTCTTTCATGCTGACTGGGGAAGATGGGAGTCGGCGGTTTGGCTATTGCCGGAGGCTGTTGGTAAGTACATCACCTTCACCTCAAAATGCAGCATTGTCTTAAACAGTGTCTCAAAACTATATCCTGAACTGAGGGTCTCTCTCACAGTTTAAAAGCAAGCAGGGTTTTCTTACTCTGAAATTTGGAAATGTGAGGAGCTCAAGTAAAATAAGACTTTGTAATGGTTGTTTCCATCAAATAGATCCCAAAGCTTGTAGGAAATTCCTAAGAATGTGGAAAGTTTCTTGTGTAAGCACTTTATAAATTCTTTATATTATGTACTTTGAAGCAGAATCAGAAATACTCCAACATTGCAATGAAAGGCAAACGTGGTATTTCTAAACATTCGTGAGTAGTGTTTATCTCTTGGGCAGCTGCTTACATCTCCAAAGGACTCTGCCAGCACTGTCTGATCAGTCTGCAGCAGGTCCATGATTCAGGTAAATAAATCACCCTGGTGAGTAGGAGGGCAGCAGTGGTGGAGAGCACAGCACCATCACCCTTTACTCAGGACCATGCAACATGCTGGTGCCAGTGCCAGGAAGTCTAGTTTCTCAGGCTGCTTTTCAGTCCTTGTGACCAGGGGTGGTCAACTGGTGAGGTGGGGACCCCACTCAGCCTACCAAACAGTTTTGTCTCGTCACCTGGAAAATCACTGGAGACTTGATAAACTAAGAGCATAGCAGTGTGTATGTGTTGGCAAGGAGGAAACTGCACAGTGTGTTAAGACAGTTGAAGCACAGTACAAACAGGGATTTTGGTATCATCCTGCAGACCTGACTGGATGGCAGCAAAGCATAAAGCAATTGGTTGTTCCTGCACTGTCCTGTGCTCATCACCTCTTGGATAGGTTTGGAGCTGTGTGTGATGAGATGGGGAGCCGTGACTCCCTGCTGTACTGTTTACCTGACAGTTGCCTACACTTGGTTGGAGAGCTTATATGGATATTGGATGCTGGAGGAGTCTTTGGCTTCCTCTCTATGCAAAATAAATGTCTACAGTAGCTTTGCAAATTTTTAAATAGGTCCCCCCTCTCTAAGAGGAAAGGACACTGGCACTTCCCCCTTCTCCCCCTTCCCTTTCTGGCATGATTTCAGTCAGGCAACACCTACCTTCTGCAGCTTTCAGTGGCTTCCATTTGACAGAGCAACTCACTGTCACTAGAACAGCATCGTCCATCCTGCAACACTGGCTGTGTCTGACCCTGCTCTTACCCTGCTCTCTGTCCATGGCAAAGCTCCTTGTCATGCAGAGAGCAGATGCTCTGTCTGGGAGGTATTGCTGTGTGTGGTTCTTCTGTTTGTAAGAAGTTTTTGTTTAAACTAACAACAGAAAACTTGTTTATCAGTTCTGGTGATGATATTTGCCATAGGTAGCATCACAGAGGCTTGCTTAGTCTACATAACACAGTATGTCACAGTGGATCACAACAGGGTTTATATGTGGGAAGGAAATGTCACTGAAGGCTTGTGTAAATCTAGGGCTGCCTAGGGGGTGACTCAGACAAACAAGGGAAGCACCTAGAAGGTATCCTTGCTGGTTTAAATAAGCATAACAAGATGCAGGGCAGCAGTGCAATTGAACTTTGTTTTTATGGGTTGTCATTTAAAAGGATAATAAGGTATATTTGGACACAAAAGTAACAAAACCTCAGAAAATGTTGCTAGAATTAAATTATGGAATATTTTTCATTCTACCAGATAAAGGTGGCTTAAGACTTTTATCTTTCTGAACATGTTAGCAAATTTGTAATCATGCATAGAGCTTACATTTGTGAAATGCAAAACAGTTGATCCTGGACTAGGCTGAAACTGAAACAATCAGCCACAATAAAAAGATTTATACACAGGAGGTGTTGAATCAGTTCATCAGTGAAGGATTAACATAGGGTTTTTTACTCACTGAAGGCTCAGTGAAATTCACCCTGTATTAAAGGCAACTTGAAAACAGAACACTGACTTTCAGCTGGTGCAGAAGATAGGTTAGCATAGTAAGAAACACCAGGAACAGAATTCAGTCAATAGTACACATTTTTATATAATGATATCTTAGACTGCATTGAAGAGTATTTTTATCCTCCACTGGCTATGGCAAAAATCAGTCAACCAGATAGCAAAAAAATAATTTAAAAGAAGGGAAAACAAGTACTGTCTTGCTAATCTATCTAATAATTATAAAGCCAGTTGTAAAGCAGATCTGCTGCTGCTGCTCTGGGAGATGACTTAATTCAGGATGCTTAATCTGGATTCCAAAACCTGGCATACAGAAATTGACATGTCTCATCTCACTGGTACACCTGACCCAGCAGAGGAAAGGTGTGATACCAATTTACTTTACCAGCTTGGCCCTTTCTGGGCCAAATCCTGCGGTGCCTTCTGAGAGAAAAACAGGCACAGTCTGCGGCTTAGAAAGAAAGAGGACTTTGGAAGCTGCAGAGAAACATTTCAGCATTTCCTCTACCTCAGGAAATGGCTAAAGAAGCAGAGATCTACTATTATTTGGATCCTGCAGCCTCTTTCTGTCCTGCTGGGAGAAAGGGTGGAATTGGAATAGTTAACTGAAGTGCCTTGTCCATAGAGTTCAGCTGTGCTCACAGTGTAACAGTTTCATGTCCCCTGCAAAGGTTGGTGTATGGTGGAACAGCCTCACTGATGTGCATCTCAGTGTGGTCTATCTGTGTACAGACATGTGCATACATTCTTATTTTATGTTTGCACATACAGAGTTTGTACAGGCAACAACAGGTCAATCCTGTAGGCATTCTTTAGTTTTGTATCTGGGTGTCCAATTTCCTGAGCAGTTTTGGAAACTGATATCAGGGTGGCTCCAGTGTCCAGGAGAACACAGCATCTCCTTCGTTTAATCCTTTTCCTGACCTGCAAGTTCTGTCAAATGCAATAGCCATAATTTGAGAACTATATGCAGGTTTTAGCAGATATTATGTAAGAGAAAGGTGGGGCCACACCGTGTCAGATGGGGCTATAAGAAACCCCTAAAATTCTTATAAACTGCTCCACTTCAAGCCAAGTCAACTGCTGTGAGGCTAATTCCTTAGAAACTGTTCCCCAGCTGTCCTGGTGAGGGATGCTCTTATAATACCCAGTGAGAGGTGTCTCACATGTTCTGGAGCAGCAGGCTCTGTGACTGGCTGGGCCAGCCAGCCTGATCCTGTGACAATGGCTGTGTCTTCTGCAGAGTCTGATGTTCCCATTCCTTTGTTTAGGAAACAATTGCTTTTTGTCAGCCTTTTTCTTCTTCAGCATATTGTGATATGAACAAACTGTTCCACTTTTTCTTTTTTGCCTTCAGATTTCAGATTCTTCCAGACCTTTTTTTTGGGGAATGTGTGCTAAAACCCTGCCAAAACTACCTCAAGGGATACAGTGACAATTAGGTTTTGTTTGTACAACAAATCCTGTACAATATCCCCTTTAAATGTATTTATATTGTTTTGTTTCATTTTGGAACAGGATTAGAATGGAATGTAACCTATTGTACCGCAGCAAATAAACTGCACTTCCTCAGATAGCATGAAGTTTTCCAGTTACATCTTGATACCTCCAAGGCAATCGTGCAACAGCTTTCCTAGTGAATGCACATGTCAGCAGCAAAGATGATTTGGGCAGCCTTGCAGGGTCTGTTTCATCCTACCCCTCTCTTCCCTCTCACATCAAAATTCGCTCCTCCACTATTTTCTAGGCTAAGACAAGCCAGCCCCAGGAGTCAGCGGAGGAGCAGATGCCTGAATGTAAAGTGTGCACCTTAAAACATGAAAACCAATTGTTAGGTGGGACTAGTTCATCCTGCATTTGCTGTGGGCAGGAGAAGGGAATTTGTTGCACTGTGAAACTAGCTTCTCTGGGATGCAGATTGTTTATGGAGCTCACTGGAAAACCTTTTCTTCTCCTTGCCTTCTCCTCTCCATCCTGCCCTCCCCCAAGCACCTTTGATAGCCCTGTGCACATGGGGTGCTCTGGCATTCAGAGTTCATGTTTCACAAATAACAAGAAGAGTTTAAGAACATGGTTTTGGATTAAAAACACTCACAGTTTTTCCATGGTCTGAATTTGGATTGGCCCTAACAAAGAATCAAAAAGTACCATAGAAGCTGTCTTGAGACTGACTATTCATTTTAGACTCTCAATGTATAATTTGTTCTGATTCCTGACACCATTAAGGAACATCTCTGTTTCTGGATATGCTGGCTAGTGAATGTGTTTGCAAAGGCCACTTCCTCAGAGAACTCATCTGCTGTGGTGCATTTATGATGGTCCTTTTTCTCCCAGCCTTGGGGCAACCCTTACTGCTTCCTCTAGTTTTCCTAATAATGCTCCCTGTGGAATTGTTTAGAAGATCTCAGGCAAGACGTCCTGTCCCATTCTGGGAAGGAAAGAGCTCAGTCTTGGAGTTTCAGGTTGGCGCTAGTTTCTTGCTGCACTTCTGTTTCTTAGAGATGGCAGGTACGACTATGGTTCATGTTTCTCTTTCTCGCTGTTTGGTAGGTCTGGTTTTGCTGCTTTTTCAGGAGATGGGAAAAAATGGGAGAGGTGCAGGAGGGAAAATGTTGTGTTTGGTTCCTGTTGCTTTGGGTCCTTTGATGTCAACATGCTGGGACTATCATTCCCCACTTATTTCTGGGGCTGTGAAACCAGGAGCTTTCCTGGCCTCCCCAGTACCTTATAAACCCCAACACCCTGAGTTATGTGTCTGAATGTCTGGCGAGTATGCCCACTGCAGGAATAACCTGCCTTGCTTTGATAGCAGGTGTGTGCAGTGTATGGGAGACTCTCAGTGCTATGTCAGGCTGAGAGGAGATCTCTGAAGGCTCCCCTAGATTTCAGGGAGGTGTAATTTCAAAGAGAAAAATGGCAGGCTTAGGTTTTGGAGCAAAAGTATCTTGTTTCTCCTGCCAAAGCAGGTTTTGGAGAGTGGGCTTTAGTCAGTAAAACTCAGAGTAAACTCACTATAAAAAAGATTGGACTGAGCCACCTTTGGACTAGCCCAGATGCAGATCTTGGCTTCTTCATCTCACAGCCAAGTTTTTGTCAGTTTGTGTTCATCCTCTTGGCAAACTGTCTAGTTATCACCAAAATGCATTAGCATTTTCACTTGTGATATTGGACTAGGGCTGCAAATATCCTGAGCTCCATGAAAACAAATTGAAACCAAACCAAACCCCAAACATCAACCCCTACATCCCTCTTCTTCCAGGAGGAATGCAGTGCATCAAGGCAGAGTCACTCAGGTGCCTCTCAGCTGTGCCACTTCACCATATAGCTCTCCTGAACTGGACCTATTCTTTGTGTGCAAGAGTGAGCCTTGGATGGAGGACATGACTCCAATGCTTTGTAGCTACCTAGTAGAGCACACACTGCAACTTGGAAGGCTCTATTCTGGCAAGAGGGGAGGTTAAACTGGTTCTGTTGGCCAGACCCAGTGCCTGAGTATCCCCTAGTGAAGAGAGACGAATCTAGTCAGGAGTGTCATGTCCCATATGATGGGTTTTTTTTCTGTGAAAGAAGCAAACTAAAGCACAGTGAACAGGTGTTTTAAATCTCTTTGAGGTGTAAACTAATGACTGAGAGGGGAGGTTATGTGAAGGGTTGCCAGTGCTATAAATTTGAGAAGTCCTGCCCCTCAGCTCTGTCTGAGGCTTTTGCTTGCTGCCTCCTACAGATGATGTGTATACATCTGTGAGGCTGTGCTGTTTGCAAGAAAAAGTCTCTGAAATAACAGAAAAGGATGTCCTATATGATGGAGGGAATAATCTCAGCTCTCACAGACATGTAGCCTTTAAGACATTTGAAAGCCATGATATTTCATAAAGGAGAATCTTGGAGTAGCACTAAGCAGTTATTGTTTCTGGTCTTGTAGATGACCCAGGAATGTGATGTTTTTACTGGCACTCAGTGAGACAGCTCTTGGTTGGGAACTATCCAAGGCTCCTGGCATGGCTTCGGCATT